TCCCCGGGGGGGGGGGGGACAATGGTGTAAGAGTGATGCTCTTTTTTTTCGTAATTGATCAGTTAACTGGTAGAAATAACGTTCGTGGCACTGTAGAAGCACTGACGCGAAATTATAATGTTAACGTTGCTATGGAGTTTGATTTTTCGTCAAAAAAAAATCTTGCTATATATTTATTTATGACTGCACATAGGATCGCACACATTTGTCCCCCAGGTGATTCAGTGATAAGTCCGAGGGCTTATAACGTTAAAAATTCGGCCTAACAATAATATTTCTTTGCATTCTTAAATATTATATGCTAAGCAAAACATGATAAACGTGAATTTTAGTGAAGAAAATATTTCGATCGTTATTGGTGGGTAAAGGACTATATATCAAACCAAACTGCTTACATTGCAACACTATATATAACCTACTATGTTTATGTACTTCGCTCTTCCAAGCAATACTGATGAATTGTGGATTATAACAGAATGAAGTCACAAGTTTCCAAACTTCTCATGAAAACTGTTGTTTACAGAGCATATTGTAAGCGTAACAAACAATACGCTTAAATGACAAGACAATAAAGAAGCGGGAACTAGGGGTGCTGAGGGTGCTGGAGCATACCTTGGTTTGACCTATGGGGGGTGCTACGCAGGCATGGTTCCCACCATACACATGAGTTTTGATCTTTGTTCAATGGTTTTCAGCAACCCCACTACATAAATCGTTCTAGCATCAATGCGCAGCAACCACTACAAGTAAGAATCATAGAACACCAAAGGAACATAAAAAAATTATATTATAAGCACACCGGCAACAGGTAATCAAGCTTAGGAAAACAACTACAAGATGGATATAAATAACACAAAAAAATACTCGAGAGAGCAAGCAAGAAAACACAAATAAGAGACAAATCAAGGAAGAAATTGCCATACAAATTCAAAATTCAAAATATCAATTCTTATTAGTACAAAACAACAGTGAGCGACAAATAAGAGCGCCTTTTATCGAAAAAAGTATACATCGTACTTGTAGAATTTGTTTTGTTTGTTTGTAATTAAGCACAAAGCTACACAATGGACTATCTGTGCTCTGCTCACCACGGGTATCGAAACCCGGATTCTAGCGTTGTAAGTCCACAGACATACCGCTGTGCCACTGGGAGGTTACTTGTAGAAGTATTGACGCGAAATTATAATGTTAACGTTGTTATGGAGTTAGATCTTTCGTCAAGTTCTTGCTACGTATTTATTTATGACTGCACATAGGATCGCACACATTTGTCCCCCAGGTGATTCAGTGATAAGTTCGATGGCTTATAACGTTAAAAATTCGGTTTCAATACCCGCGGTAGGCATACCACAAATAGCCTGTTCTGCATATTGGCGCTTAAAAACAAATAAAATGCTTACATTTTAATTTTTATCCGTAAAACTTGAAGTATTCGATTCATTTTGAGACTTACATTTTTCAAGGGTAGAAATGTCATCTATATTCTGGTACAAGACTGGGAAAAGATTGAATTTATGATTTGTTAATTTTAATTAACCGAGCGTGGCAAAAGTGATTTGTATACCAGATGTGTTTCTATGGGATCTACGTTCACGACCTTCTACAACCCAAAAAAACAAAATAATGGTCCGCACAATGAGAACATAGGTGAGTTTTAAGGATGACGGTCAAAACTATTATTCGGTTACACGAGCGTAGCTCAAAGTTTTAGGTGGGTGCTGTTGAGTTGCTGCCTTCTTTCTAGACTATCAGTTCAAAATTAGGGACCTATCTGCCTTCCATCTAGTCTACCATTTCAAAGTTAGTGCAGATAATCCTTGAATAGCTTTGCGCAAATGTTCGAAAAATAGCAACAACAACAACAAAAAACCGAAAATAACTAACCTTAAGTAAACAGTAAAATATTCAACAAAATAAAATACTTACACTTTTAACATCAAATAGCAGATATCATATATGATTTTAATGTGGTTATATATCTTTAAAACGTGTTTCATGAATGCTAACAAAACATTATTCAGTTGGTCGACGAAGATTCTGGTATAAGAGGGTCGATAGCTCGTAGAAACAATGGTAAATTTGAACGTAATGAGTGTCAATATGATTTTTTAAATCAAATATAAATACCAATGTAACGAGTTTAAGCGGTAATTTATACGTCCTTTTTCACTAGTGAACACATTTCTTTTAAGTGTTTCTAAATGTATTTTCTATTTGAAGAACGTAATAGTACCAATAAACATTCGGCCTGTTAATCTGTTAACAGCAGCCAGGGTCAACAGTGCAGTTTACTGTGTTTTTAATTTAGAAAGCTTGCGAATTTTTAAATTATATCTCTTTTTATATTTCGTTCACGCTGAACGATAAAATGAAATCACTGCTACTTTCTGTCTCATAAAATGGGTATGATTCAAAACACCAGTATGTTAATAATTGTCACATATGGCGACCGTTTCAAAGACAAAATTGAAGATAAAACTTTTCTTTCATAGAATTTTAAAAACATCAGTTTCTTAGTTTCTCTGCGATCGTTTCGTCTTTAATGTATGTATTTCTACCATTAATAGTATTTTGTAGCGCAAGTGGTTAATAAAAACATTCGGCACATAGTAAAACTTGTGTTAAGTGTTGGAATGACCAACATACATCGTTTGAGCGATTAATATTCGTTTTTTTCTTTGTTCTGAATTATCTCCTAAGATTTAATTTTGATGATGACCTTGTTGGCTTTTCGTGTATATATATATATATATGTCACATCGGTTTCATTACTATTTGTTGTTGTTGTTTGTTATCAAGCACAAAACCACACAAAGGACTAGCCGTGCTCTTCTCACCACGGGTATCAAAGCCCGCAGTATAAGTCCGCAGACATATCAATCTACCACTGGGGAGCCATTACTATTGGTCACTTGGCATGACAATTATGGAAGGACGTTTTGTTTACTATAGAAGGTGGATCTTTTGTGACCATTCAGGAAGTGTTTATTTCGCTTCCGTTGGAGGTATCGTAAGACAGTTTATTGACAGTAAGTCTATAGATAGTTTTCGATTTGATTAGTTAGAGTAATTAGTTAAATTCAGTTTTAATTTCTTTTTCATAGTTCTATTCTTATCTAGATCAGTTTGGTCGAAAATGTACATAGCATAGTAAACTTAATGGTCCCACATGGTGTACAGAGCGTTCATAGTGATAATTATGTAGTTAACGTACCGTTTTATCTTTAGTGGTAAATCAGGAGTAACTCAGATATACGAACCAATATATATTTTTTGTTAAACACACACACACACACGAACCTGACATTATTCTAAGGAAGAAATATATTATTATAAACCTTATTATACAGTAATTATACAGTGGAATCGTCCTAGTGTCACGTATTACAGTACACTGAAGAATATAAACGACACGTGTAATTTGGACTACTTTTTTGAAGTGATTATTTTCACCGATGTAGACTTGGTAAAGAATATAAGCCTTTATTAGTCTGCCACAGTTCGTAACAGTCCTATAATCTCAACTCGTAGCCTTTTTACGATAAGGTGAGACATATTTATATACACTTTGAAATGTTAATTTACTCATCTAGAACTTGCCTGGTTCGAGTCGATGATTGGCACCCAAGTTACGTAAGGTTTCTTAAGATCTATACCGAACATCTTGATTTCAGCTTCTCCTATCAAGGTATTTGTGTATTTGTCTGATGTGTAGACGTAACAAAGCACCGATCGCTGACCGAGTTCTCGACTGTCGACACCGAAAAGAAATCTTTCTTTAAATACGGGGTCATTTGTACGCCTTTGAACCTGTAAAAACAGAAAACGAAAAACTATATCACGAAATCTTTGTTTTATGTAAATTTACCGAAGTTGTGAGTAATGAGTGTATATTATTTGTATACCCGGTTATACAAGTTGAAAACAACTTACCAAATCAATAAGTAAAAATGTTTAAGTCGCATGCCGTAAAAATATATTCTAGTTTCCTAAATTAGGTATAAAATATGTACATACAACTTGGGAGTAATTATAGAAACAGTGTTTGTTGTTTCTTTTTACAATTAAGAATAATAGGCTATCTGTACTGTGCCCATTATGAGTATCGAAACCCGGATTTTAGTGTTAAAAACTTCGAGACTTACCGCTGATCCTCTAGGGGTCATATAAAAACAGTGAATAAAATTAAAATGCAAATGTTATGGGATTTCTTCACTTCTGTTGTACAAAAATTAACTGCAAGAGAATACATTCTTCTGTTGATGGTTTATACTGTAATTGGCTAATATCCAACTAATCCAACAGTGCCACATCAGCACAATGCGCATAAAAATAGAAGTATTCATACTATCCCAACAGTAGTGTGGTGAAATAATAATAACAGAAATGCACATTTGTCAGACATAGTTACAAACAACGAATTGTAGTTAAATGTTCAATCGATCATTAATACAATGAATTATTACAAATAATACAAAAAGCCACTAATTTGTACAATGCACTGTTATTTGAAATTTGCTTTAAACAGAGTAGTAATGTTGTTACATTACGTTAATTAATATGATTAAGAAATATTGTTCCCGTTGTTCTGTATTACACCCCAACAACTCAGTAAGGCAGTTTGGTTTGAGTTTGACCTTTTCAATTTCTAAAAAGCACATACAGTGTTCACAATTTTCAAATCGGGATATTGTATAGACCAAGCCACTTCTTACCTCCAGGTATCGTTTCACCACATTTATGCATGCTTGGCATCACTCTCTTGCTGGAAGATGAGTCTCTGCCAGATAGATCTCGTTTCTTATAGAATATAATGATGGATAAGAATCTTTTATATCGGCAGTCAAGGTGCTATCAATTTTGTGTAGATCTTCAACCCCATTTGCTAAGATGCAATCCACACTTATATTGGTCTCACAACATGTTTCACTATAGATGTTGTATGTTGATCGTGGTACTGTTCTCCTTACCGTTATCAACCAATCATTCGTTGATTGTTGCTAAATAATTTAATTTGTATTCAACTGTAAAGGGCACCCTCCTCCAGCTCTTCTCATCCTATTTTTTGAAGGTTGATGCCCATTTCCACTTTTTGGTTTGGTTATCTCTCCTAAAAGTTTTTTTAGCAACTGCGCATCCGTTATTGATGTGAAGGAAACGTTCACGCTTTTACTTACAGCAAGATCGTTGGAAAGATCTTTACTGTATTTTACTGTATCACTTAAAGAGCATGCTCTGATTTATTTAACATCACTTTTGAAGAGTTTGGGTTTTCTACCTTGACCACTTCTATTATCAACAGCAACATTTTCAAGTATTATCTTCATTCAGTTTCTATACAGCTCCTACTGGTTGTACTTTTTATAGGAATTATACTGGTATGGCAACGTTGGTCGTGCAGTTCATACTTTCAGAACAGATATGGAGTAATCATATAGCATTTGATATTTTATATTCATTTTACTCACTGTTTTTGTAACTATTTCTAATATTATATATGTGTTTACTAAGAAAAAGTATTAGGCAAATTTCTCAACATAACACCATAAATAAGTGTTAAAGCAAATGAAATATGTCTTACTCTTGTCTGCATGTTTGTGGTTTTGTCAGGCAGCAAAAATACCCGGACATAGCTATCAACGGTTAAGTTGGGGTCTGGTCCAACTAAGTCACGTGCTTGGTTAACGATTACGATAAGGTCTTCAGTTTCACTAAAAGATGAAAAAGCCTTAAATTAGAATTTGTTTTTAACCAAATCCTTGTGTTTTCCATAACAAAATACTGTTTAGGGCTATCTAGCTTTCTAAATAAATTTAACAACCATTGTTTAGTGTTTGATTGCATCGCAGCAGTATACGTATTGGCTCTTAATCCTATTGGATAACAAATTTCATACCATGAACAATAGAGTAATGAATGTTCGAGCTATATCAGCTCTCTGCAGCCCAGCCCAGTTAGGTTTACAGCTTGTATGTTATAATGAAAAATGTTTTCGTATAGTAATATCAAGAATACTAAAAATAAAACAAAATTAAACAGTTAACTTATAGTTTCTAACATGTTAGTAACATCAAATTTTAAAAGATTTTTTGAAATACCGAAAGTAATACCGTAGCTGTAAAATTAATATGTAATAAACTATGGTACCGTGTATTTCTAACTAATACAAAATATATAAGGTAATTACTTTTATCCTCTTGAACAATTTAAACACTTTACCTGTCATATTCGAACCCTATTTCTAGTTCTCCATTAGACTGAGGTAATTCAAGTGTTTCCAGTATAACTGATGTGTCTGAGCTTACACTGTCGCAAGATAACGCCCTCTGTAGCTTAGTATCTGAATTATCAAATGCTGTCAAAAAAGAAAAAGACAGATTCATGTCAAAATTAGCTAGTGTGAGGAAATAACACTAACTCTTCTGAAAGTGTGTAAAGCATTCTGACTTTTTATTCTTATTAATTTAAAATGATTATAGGTGAAGTTTTAAAACAAATATAAAAATAATTTCATAACAGATGTTAAATTAACAACAAATGCTTAAATGTAATGAAGACAAACTAATCTGATCCCACGGTGTGAAAGTAATGCACAAAATAACAGAAAAAGTTTCCTAATTTTAAGTATTTCCAGATAAAGTTTTATTAGAAATTTCAAGTATTAATTTTAAGACTGAAAAACAGAATAAAAATATGTATAGTGAAGTGAAATTTAATTGTTTCATAAAGAGAAAATATTGTATAGGATTATAGACCAATATCTTAACATATATCTTAAATATTTATAAATTACGACAGATCTAATATCCCCAATGTCTTACTTTGTGAGCTATTTCATCTTGAATTAAAAAATCTATTTTATTTGTAGTTTGAGTTCTTATGCTATGAAACGGCTAAACCTCGACATTCTGTTATGATTTTGTCAATGTCATATCCAAAATATTTAAAAGTTTCTAAAGAAAAACAAATATTTCTACACAAAAACAATAAACACAATTTCCCGTTTTTGTAAAATAATAAACATTTTTTTAGCGAAAATAAAATTGATATGCAAGTGTTAGGGTGATACATTTTTACACGAAGAGTTTCGAAAACATTCATTTAAAGATTTATTATTTTGTCATTGGTGTTTTTTAGTCACCAAAATTTAATACTCTCCTGAATAATAATGATTAGTTAATTATGACGATATGTCACACGTTATCTAAACACCTAAAGTATTTTAGGTTATTAATGGTATGTAAGGAGCTACACATCAAATCCAAACAAACTAGAACTTTTTAGTTAATAGAGAAAATATTCTATATTATTATATTAAACTAAGACAATACATTATTAAATGTATTCAAGTTAGCAGCAAAGTATTCAAACAGCCTTATAGACACTTTATTTTTAAAATGTATAAAGATATTAAATTTCTATTTTTTTCTGGAATAAACTACATCAAGCAAGGGGTTTTTGCTACACCCTTATCACACTTAGTTCCCGCACCCTTGAACACTGGATAGATTATTACTGTTTCTATCAGCTAAGAAAGAGTTTCTGTAGATGAACCACGGGTTAACATTATTGGTCGAAGTGGCATATACTCAGCATAGTCCTTGAGCAAGCCGTAAATCTCGGGTATTCTACTATGGTTAAGCTTGAATCCTTCAAGTGGCTTTTTAGGTATTGTGCTATTCTCCAAGTTCATCTCAAGGTTGAAAGCTGGGTTGCTCGCTAAGGTGTTATATATTACTGTCATACAGTATAGCTGTCACGTCATTCTTATAGTCAGTGCCTTTCATAAGAACGAAGTGTTTCCTTTATCTAATACCTTGATATCAATCTGATTATTTTGTTAAATTTTCGTTAAAAATACTCTTTGGTTTCGTGAAATGTAGGGATTTTCCGAACAGTTCGGATGTCTTGTGGTGACATTTATCACTTTGCATTAAAGTCCATTGATTGACTTTATGAAATTTTCGGCGATTGTGCTTTAGGAGTGTTAAACGGACATTTAAATGTAAAAAGAAAAGGTTGCAACTTTCTATTATTTGGTTGAGAGATACAGTCTTATCTGTCCAGGCTTATTTTCATTGCCAATTGCAGTATCATCAACATTTATTCCAATTTTACTGTTGTTTGTAATCTCTGTTGATAGACCAGACCACCTAAGTGTATACATTTCTGGAGTCCAAACATAATTTGAAGTTTAAGCTTTCCTGATGGCCTTTTGCTGAGATAAACTTCTAATCTTTGGGAAGAAATGTGAAGATGCAGATGACAGTTGCACGATGAGTAACGTATTTTATAAGATAACCTGTACTGTTTGTAACGAGAATTACAGTGATGAAACATCTCGTGCTTTACACGTCAAATTTGTGTAACAACTAAGGATCAGTGCGGTAGCAAGCAGACCATTACCTACACAAAGAAGATATGCTAACAGCTAACTGTTCATTAAAGGTTTAACTATAACAAGTAATTGTTTTGGATAGTAAATATAAGAAGAAATTATTGATTTCAAAATACAAGCCAAGAATTAACAAAGGCTGTAAAAGGGTATTGTGATTTAATATTGTTATCAGTAACCAGTTCCTAAACTTTCATTTTTATGTCATTAAAAATGTTTAATATATAGTTTATTTTCGAGACTTGTAATTTGATCTTTAATTGGTAAAATCTAACTTAACAGTTATTCATGCTCAATATACATCTGTTTCTAGTGCTGCATTTTTTATATTATTATAATTCTATAAAACATTTATGTCTATTTACGTGACTATCCATTTTACCTTATTGTGATACGTACGGATTTGTTATTTCTCTGTTCCTTTCTGGAACAAGTTTGAAGATTGTATTCTGGGGAGTTTAACAGATGTAACAGTAGGTTGCTCCTAACAAAGATGTATAAACGAAACGTTGAACAAAGAACTAAACATCATTTTCTGTGATCGTTCATTTGAAAGTCAATTATGCATATAGCAGTTGAAAAAGAACATATTTTAAAGGGTCACCTCTGGAATAAAGTTTTGTTAGAATTACGTACTGTTATAATTTTGTAATACTTGTTTTTTAAAACTTGTTTGCTTATTCGCTTTTGAATGTATTGTTACACATTGCTTAAGAAAGTATGTCTATGAATACTGGAGGATTGTATAGGATTTACAACGTGCTTGTTTCCTTTAGATCACACTACTAAACTTTTCAAGAATACCTTTTGCAAACTCCTCTTAGATCCGTCTATACAGCTTGCTCTTACAAAAGATTTAATGGTTGCAATATATATTCTGTATTTTGTTGACGTATGCCTTTTCAGCACCCAGGGAACGAGAACTGACACATGATTTTCCATTTCATCCAATTCATCATTAGCATTTCCATAATTCCAATTATTATGCTGTGCTTTAAGTTGTTTCAATTTTGATAAAGTTTTACTCCCTACATATAGTTTGTGTTAGACTTAAACACACAATTTTACTCACATGATAACTAAAGCTTCTGAATTAAAATATCGGATCATAGTATCCACGAAATGCTTGTATTGGACGACAAAAACAATCATAGATGAATTCATTTAAATATTATAAATTAAAGAAACTATTAAAATCCAGGTTACGTGACTATCCATTTCTACCTTACTATTGTAATACGTACGAATTCGTTATCTTTCTATCCTTGGGATAATTGGATGTGTAAACTGTGTTTAATTTTCAGCGGATAGCATAATTAATCTGAAGGGCAAAGCATGAATAATCTGTAAGATAAAGATGTAATATATATATATATTTATTTTGGTAAAACGCATGAATAGTCAGAATATAAGACATGGGTAATAAGGGTAATAAGTGACACTGATCTGGAGAGTAAAGACGAAACCCTCTGTAGCTTGAAAAATACATCATGATTTATTTAAATAATAAAATAATAATATTCTGAGAAGTGAATTACAGATTGCTTGAGGTACAAAGTGTAGGTTATTTGTAGTGATCAGCGTTTATGTACAGCATGCGTAATCTGAAACGTGTAGCAAAATTAATCGAGTTGTGTGCCGCATAAATAATGATCGCCTTAAAAATGCAGCGTGTGTAATCTGTGATGTACAACATACAAAGTATGAAGGGGAAACACAGGAAACATAGTTAATTTGGAGATACGTATTCTGTGTTGCAAAGCGTGACAATTTTAAGTATAAACTGGTGGTCATCTTCTTTATACAGCATGCGTAGTCTGAGGCATACAACATAAGAAGTTGGAGACACAGATACGTAATTATTATTGCTTTCTTATTTCCATGAAGTAAATGCAAGAGTGGATTTGCTACTTAAGGTGAGTTATATGGATTGATCCATCAATTTTTCCTTCCACTTTCATGAACGCTTTAGTGTCGAATCGTCAAGACTCAAGAGCATACACTAAGTTTATTTTCCACGCTCTGTCTGTGAAGAGTCGTACGCTTGTGATGACGCCACTGGATTGAAAACAAAACTACTTGAAACATCTATATATACTACTAAAACTCCTAGATTGTTTAG